GTAGAGTCCGATCGTGAACCAAGCAGGCAGCGATGCGCACAATCACAACAATCCAGCGGCAACCAAGGAAGAACCACGGAAGACGAGCTCGTAACCAAGTGTGTGTATATACAGATAATTAAAACAAAGCTGTACAACAACTGCAGCGAAATAGGTAAACGTGAAAATGAAAAATAAGCATATTATTTACAATCGCTACAATGTTTAGTTAAGTAACGTGTGTATTTGCAGGCTGAAATCTCTCAACGGATCTGAAAGATCCCCTGGGTTACTCAAGTTGACCTGGCTCATGCGGCCTTGTTGTAAGCTTTAGAAAAGCTTAGAGGATTAAAATATGCTAAACTCTATTTTACTGGTTGTTTATGTGGCTCAGTATCCCCTGAAAACCGTATGCTGCAGCCTCCTAACCGTGAGTTAATTACAAACTCCCCTGAATTCACATGTAGATATAATATCCATTGCTGGCTTTCTAGCGTTTTCGCGCAAAATCATCCCATATTTGCATATATTTATCATGTATGCCTGCAAAGTTTACTTTTCGGCCACCTGCACAGTCCGTATTTGTCGCAAGGTATTACCGGCTAATTAGAGCATTTCTGGATAGCTATGCCTATCTAGAACATACGTCGATTCCCTATTTTTTATGTTTTCTTTTCTTTTTTCTGCTCTCTGCTCGCAAAGCAACTGTCCCCCTGTTGACAGTCCATCCCTTGATGGGTCGTTCATCTTACCGGACGCTCCAGTGCACATTGAGATAGATGACTCATATGCCTCGGATAGCATTGTTGACCCTCCGCAAACGGAAGGCGAGTCACGGGCTCCTGGGCCGGAAAGGAAGGGGCGAAAGAGGGCAAGAAAAGTGCGCAAACCCTCCGCACCCAAACCGAGAGGTGTGAAGACGCTCAAGTTGCAACCACCTGAGCGGGAAACACCACCTGGTGATGCGAATCCCTCAGTTTCACCTAAGATTGTGCAGGCAGGGGGTTAAAAAACCCCAGATGTCTACATCGAGTGCTACTCAAATTGCGGTGCCTACTCCAAACACATCTTGTCTTCCAGGGGTACAGGTCGTGGAGGCAGGCATGGATGTTGAGCCACGGGATTTATTCGCCTGCAGGAAGAAAGAGAAATCGGAACAGAAATGCCCGTACTCTTCAGGCAGGTTCGAAAAGGGTCAAGAATGACGGGACAAACAAGCTGGAGCCTAAGTCGTATGCTACAGTTGCTTCAACCTCGTCTGATAACTTGCGCCCAGTCTCGTTTTCCGCGGCTAAGCCGGTTGCGGTTCATGTAATTCCAAAACCCGTGGGGTAAATACACCCCGTTGAGGTGATGCTTTCATGGATAGCAGTGTGATATTCCGTAACGCAGTGGAATCCACTGCTGCACTTCCTGCCGAACGTACATTAGACGACCTACAGTGGTTTAAGATGTGCGTAACCAAACTTCTTCCGCCTGGGTTTCCCGGTGTTACTGTCAGGAAACTGACTAGATTGGGTAACGTCCCAGTTAACGCCCCAAACCCCTCGACCGCGCTTACTTCGGGTAGTCCTATCTACCCCGGAGGAACGCAACGCGCTGTTGCGGTTTGCCTTCAAATTGAAGGGTACTAATGTTAGTGTTCAGCCAGACCTCCCATTAGTGGATAGGCTGAAGCTAAGGGAGGCCATTAAAGGCCTCAAAACCAGGCGAGCGGCCGGTGAACAAGGTCTCCGGTTGGTGGGTTTTCGGGTGATCAGCCGGCGGTCTGTTTCCGCACTACTGGTGCCAGTACTGGTCGCGCAAGACCCGGGCTGGACATTACGAGTACCATCAGAGAGTGCTAAGCAACGTGCGCAGCCTGAGGAATAAGGCGTGCGAAATACGTCTGTTTGTAGATGGGTCTCATCCCGATATACTTGCATTCACTGAAACGTGGCTGTCTCAAGACATCACGGGACGGTGAAGTACATCTGCCTGGCTACGCACTATTTAGATGTGATCGCTTCGTTGGCCGACAAGGCGGGGGCGTACCAAGGCTGCTGGGATGCGTTGTGAAATCTCGGTGGTTGATACGGTTCAGGCGGCCTGGGATAAATTTAAATCTTATCTCACGGAAGTGTCTACTCCCTACATCCCGCTTGCGAGGAGAAAGGAGACACGGGCGCGGCCGCCGTGGATAGATACCACTGGCAAGCACCTGCTCCAGAAGCGTTCTAGGTGCTGGAGGACCTACCGTGCGGCTCCATCAACTAGCACCTATGCTAGGTACCGCGAGGCTAGAAATAGGTGTAAACAACACTTAAGGAAAGCTCGGCTGGTGTACGAAAAGGAATTGGCTGACGGAGCTTCGGAAAATCCGAAGAAGTTCTTTGCTTATGTTAAGAGACGCTGTGGTTCAACTTCGGTAATCCCAACTTTGATGAGGGCCGATGGAACTCGTGCGTATGCGGACTCAGATAAGGCTCGTGTACTTGGGGAACAGTATGCAGGGGCTTTTGTACGTGAGGCCGCGTTGACTAGCGTTGAATTTGTCCCCAGAGTACCTGATGGTTCTTATTTAGCTGAGTTTACTGTGGGGGAAACGCAAGTCCTTAAACTGCTGCAAGAACTGAACCCTTCCAAATCAGCTGGACCTGATTCAATTCACCCGAAGCTTCTGCATGAGTTGGCGGGGGAACTAAGTGGACCACTGACGATGGTGTTTCAGAAATCACTTGACACCTGTACATTACCTTCCGAATGGAAGGAGGCTGTCATCTGTCCTATCTTCAAAAATGGCGACAGGAGTCTGTCAGCCAATTATAGGCCAGTTAGTCTGACTAGCGTCGTGGTCAAACTGCTTGAAAAGCTGGTGAGAGATTCGTTGGAATGTCACCTGAATAGATTTAATCTGCTCAGCAGTGCACAACATGGATTCCGGAAGGGGTTTTCGTGTTTGACGAATTTGTTGGTTGCTCGTGAAGCTTGGGCCGAGGCAGTGGACAATGGCCACGTAGTGGATGTGCTTTTCGTAGACTTCTCGAAAGCATTTGATAAGGTACCCCACTTGAGGCTATCACATAAGCTGAGGTCCTACGGCGTATCTGGCCGCGCCCTTCACTGGGTATCTGCGTTTTTGCAGGGAAGAGAGCAGTGTGTACGTGTGGGTCGCAGCTTATCCTTTAAGCAAGCGGTCCTTAGCGGTGTCCCACAGGGCTCGGTCCTTGGACCGATGCTGTTCTCTATCTACGTAAACGATCTCCCTGGAGAGCTTGGGGTATCATCCTTATTGTTTGCTGATGACCTTAAGCTATGGAATGTTGTAAATGTTCCTGGGGGTTCTGAGGCCATACAGCGTGCACTGGACAGACTCTGGGACTGGTCTACTTTGTGGCTACTGCCCATAAATCAGGCTAAGTGTTCCGTCCTTCGTATAGGAGCAACTTTCCCGCCTTCGAGCTACGTACTCGGTGGGGTCGAACTCCCCCTTGTCTCCAACCAGATAGATCTAGGTGTCGTTCATTCCTCGTCTTTGCATTCTGGTGACAACTGGAAGAAGGCCGCTAGTAGGGGTTTCAGAATGTTATGGTTAATACGCCGTTCTTTCGGGGTCTTAACTGCCGACATATTTGTGAAGCTATTCTCAGCTTTCGTTCGGCCCCATCTGGAATACTGCGTCCAGGCTTGCGCGCCCTGCCTTGTTCGGGACAAAATGGAGCTTGAGAGGGTTTTGAGAGTAGGTACCAAATTGGTCGAGGGGTTACGGGGGCAATCGTACCCCGAGCGTCTACTTAGCTTGGGTATGTATTCAATGCACTACCGACGGCTTCGAGGAGACCTAATCCTTACTTACCGCATTTTAACAGGGAAGGTTGGGCCGGACTTGCGCTGGCTGTTTAGCCCGGCTAGGTTGCCTTGTCTTCGCGGTCATCCCATGAAGCTACACAAGCCGCGTTCTGACGGGATCAGGGCGGAAACTCGGTTATCGCGTAGAGTTATCGAGCGCTGGAACTCGCTTCCAGAAAATGTAGTCAGTGAACCTACGGTTAAGGGTTTCGAGCGTCAGTTAGACGCTCTTGGGTGGCAACACGAAACCTTTCCCTTCTCCTGACCATATCCATCTTCAAACTTTCAGTTCTTATTCTGTCATTATCTTCACTCTTTGGTGTTATCCTTCATTTTAATGACTTTCATTCCCCTTTATCTTTTCATTTACTTTCTACTTCTTTCTTACTTCACGTAACCTACACAGCGCGGACTGCTAGTGCAGGGAACGTGGGCAGTAGTTGGTTGATCAGGGTGTGTTTCGGGTGTTTCGTTTTAGATCTATCAAGAACTAACACCTTATCATTTCCTGGCTCAACGATTTGCTCAAGAAGGAACACTCAAGGGATTTTCCTATCGTTCCAGTCCATCTGAATCTGAATCTGAATCTGCTACGTTTAGTGTTACGTTCGTGCTACCAGGGCGACTTCTTCACTTTTCAGTTCTTTTTTAATAACTCAAATATCTTGGTATTCCACTTGCTTAGCTCTTTCCACTTTCTCTTTTGCCTTCTGCGTTTACTTTTTTCTTTCTTGCTACACGTAACCGGCCCAGCAGGGACTGTTAGGGCAGGATACGTGGGCATTAATTGGTTGGACAGGGTGTGATGCGGTCTTTGTTTTAGTTCCATCAGTATTTCAAAGTTCGTCAACTTCTGCTTCAACGACCCGCTTGAACTTGAACAAAGTCCCTCCAGGCCCATTTTCCATGTCCAAACTTACCCACTCCCACCGACCGTTGTGGAGCACGATCTCCGTGCTGTCTTTTTGAGGTTTTACTTTCAACGGACGGATTCGGAACCGTGTTTTCAAGTGTAGTGCAAAAAATTTGCCTTTTGTCAAATTTCCCTTGATCCAAAAAAATTTGGGTCATCATTTTCCCCGGATTAAGTAGTACCCGTTTTCGGTACTTACCAAATTTCGTCCATCTTTTTCTGGTTCAGTCTCTGGCTTTTTCCCGGTACTTTTGTGTTTTGTAATCCGTTTTGCACCTTGTTTTAACCTGTAGCTATTTCTGTTGACTGCCCTGCAGGTAACAGCTTGTCAGTTTTACCTTTCGATACTTGTTTCACACTCTTTAAAAGCGTCATGTCGGATTCACTGAATACCGGCGCTAATGTGTCTTCTGCTGCGTTGATCAGCGAATCTAATGCTATATGCGGCAGCGTGAGCTGATCAAAACCTGTGACGGACGAGTCTGGTGGCATGCAGTGCTATGTATGCAACTGCTTGTACCATGAGACCTGTACCGATTTGAGCCCTGATCAGTACGCAACGATTTCAACTAACGATAGCATGCTGTGTAATTGTCTTCTATGCCGTCGCTGTCGATCTACGCGTCTTGAACTCAATGAGGAGGCATCGAGCAACGTCGGGCTGGGTAACCAGCAGTTGTGGTCTTTCCTCACATCGCTTGATCGGAAAGTGGAGTTACCGATGAGAAACATGGGCTCATTGGATGAAGACACGCAACTACCCTCAATTGTTGTCGATGAAACTTCGACTGAGGTGATGGCTACCCGTGTCGTTTGTCCCAGCGGTTCAGAATGCCTCAAAAGCAGCCTATGATGTCGCACTGAAAGCTGTCCAGAGCGAGACCGAACTTATAGCTCTTGTGCCCAATAAAAGCAAGTGGAAGAGGGCTAAGAAAGTCCGTAAGGCTCCCTTAAAGCTTGAAGGTACTGAAAGCATTAAGTTATTGGAGCGGGAACACAGCTCCAACTTTAATCACCCCACTTCCATTGGCGAAGCAACGCGCCGAGTCGACTTCGGCCACACCCGCAAAGTCTGAAAAGACTAGACCAGTGAGGGTGTTGGAGGTAGAACACAAAGCCTCTACCTCAATTACTCCAACTCCCTTGGCGAAGAAACGCGCCGTGTCACCTGCCAAACTGGTCGAACCTGGGGTCGATTTGAAGACTGGTGGAGTGAATACGCCTCGTCGAGGAGATTCTTTTACTGCTAGTAGTGTTATCTTTCGTAACGTTGCTAAGTCCGCGGCTGCTCTTCCAAGGGAACGCATGCTGCATGACCTCCAGTGATACCAGCTCTGTGTCAAAAAGATGCTTCCACCTGGTTTCCCCGGTGTCACTATCACGAAACTAACCAGAATGGGGAACGTCCCTGTAGATACGCCAAATCCGCGACCCCGACTACTTCGTGTAGTCCTCTCAACCCCGGAGGAACGCAAAGCATTAATGCGCTTTGCATTCAAACTCAAGCGTAGTAATGTCAGCGTTCAGCAAGACATCCCACTGGCAGATCGACTGAAGTTAAAGGAAGCCGTCAGAAGCCTCAAGAGCAGGCAGGCGGCTGGTGAGGAAGGCCTTTATCTTGTGGGTATTCACGTGGTCAACTGGAAGTCAAATTCTGCCCTACCAGAACCCCTCTTAGTAGCGTACGACCCAGGGCTCTTCGTGCCGAGTTCCTTCGGGTAGTGCTTAGTAATGTGCGTAGCCTAAAGAACAAGATACACGAAGTCGCTCAGAAAAAGAAGCACCAAAGCTGGCAGCGGTATGTGGGGAAGGATCGAAACTGTTTTGGATCGCGTCCAGAGTTGAATCGTTGCATTAACGGCACTCACCTGTTTGACTTTCAGAACGCCTTTCCTGCTCAATTACCGGAGGAGAACAAGAAGACGCCGACATTGGTTAACTGTAACTTTGTTCCAGTTTACCTCATGTTGATTCCCTTTTGTGGAGGCTACGTCTTGTGTAATAGAGCTTCGTTCCCAACCCTCTTAGTTCTTCCGTGCTTACATATTACAAAAGTGGCGACCCTGCCAAGTCACAAGCACCAGGAATCCAGCATCATTAGTCCAATGAAGATCATGCCGGGAACGACTGAAAAGTCTGGTGACGAAAACTATTCTGATGTTGTTGACCCCACGACCAGACTTTCTACTTCACTGGATGCTTTGTCCCGTACTTTGGAGAAATTATCCACAGGCTTGAATTCGTCAGTCTGCAGGCATGCAGTCCCTCCTCCAGAACGCTACACCCCCGGAATGACGTACTCCAGATGGAAGAAGCAAGTGCAGCTTTACATCCGTCATTTTCCAGTCAACCAACATGCCGGCGTTCTCGCCGGCCTGCTGCCAGGTGATGCTTTTGATATCGTTACTGATAACAAAATCCTGCTAAAAGAAGTCACGACCGAGACGTTCTCAGCATTGCGCTGCGTACTGGACCGTCCTGCTTTACCTGCTCCCGTACGCAGAGGATTTCACTCGTGATACCCGTGACCCGGAGAGAGCATTGGGACGTATGTGCACAAACTCCGGAAGATGGCCGACATCGCATACGAGCAAGCGTCATCGAGCGAGTGACAAACGAATACTGGAGCAACTCCGAGAAGGAATCCAAGCACCCTCCATTAAGCGTGAATTCATTCTTCATCCCCCCTCCCCACCGCGAGCAGTTGGATGCAGCCATACAAACTGGCGAACAACTGGAGCAAGTCGACAGAGCGATGGCTACACCGACTTCCGGGTGCTTCGTGTTGAGGGAAATCGGACGCTTCAGACATGCGCCAACGGAACGGTGGACGGGGCATCATGACTATCATCAAAGATATTCCGACTCACGGCGACCAACGCAGTCAGGTTCTCGGTGGCCCCGCCGACAAACACCGAACTGCGGACTAGCTCGCTACACTGACAGATGCCCAGGTGAGTGGCACCGGCTGCATTCACACTTTATACCAGCCACTGTTTGTGCGTCGACCACAGAATCAGCATTAGCAATGGAATTACAGATCGCAGGTTTTCCGTTAATAGGTCTCCTCGACACAGATGCATGTAAGTGCCTAGTCAAATCTAACCTGATTAACCAGCTAGCAGAACGCGTATGCGCACTTTGTCACTGCTGTCTAACTGCCGCTAATGGAGAATTGTTGTCCGTTCGAGGATCCCTAACCGCACGACTTGACGTTGTGAAACAAAACTTCATCCAGGAGTTTATTGTTGCGGACGAAATTCCGTTTGCTGTTATTGTTAGGATGGATCCGTTGCGCCGGTTGAAGTGTCGATTGGATCTATACCGGTGTCAACTAATCACTGATAACTGTACAGTATTGTTAAGACCCTGTGAAAGTGGTGGTTTAGAGGCTTTTACAACCTATGAGGACACTGTAGACAGTGAGAAATACGTTAACGCCTTTATTCGCCCACTCGACCGAGTCACGGATGATCAGACACTGAAGCGACTCAAAAACGTGTTACGCAACCGCTCAGACGCATTCGCATCTCGAAGTAGCGACTTGGGTCGAACCAATCTCGTGAAACACCGCCTCGACACGGGGGATGCAATCCCGATTAAAATTCCCGCAAGACGCGTACCATTACATTAGCAGGCTGAATTGCGAAAGCTCATTGATGAGATGCCAGAAGGTACTACGGCCCTCTACTTCACCATGGGCAGCCCCGGTTGTTTAGGTGGAGAAGAAGGATGGTGGTTTCCGCCTGTGTCGACTATAGACCATTAAATGAGATTACTCGGAAAGACGCTTTTCCCCTACCCAGGATCGATGATCTATTTGACACACTGGGAGGATCAGTTTATTTCAATACGCTAGCTCTGGTTTCCGGCTACTGGCAAGTCGAAGTGTAGGAAAGCGACAAAGCGAAACAGGCGTTTGTAATACCATCAGGTTTTTATGAGTTCCAGACCATGCATTTTGGCCTCTCTAACGCCCCTGCGACTTCAACGTCTGATGCAGAAAGTGGTACACGACTTGTTACCCCACAGGTGTCTCGTTTACTTGGACGATGTCACTGTACACGGAAAAACAAAAGATGCGCACCTAAACAACTTGGCGGAGGTGCTAACGTGCCTAGTAAATGTGGGCATCAAACTCCACCCAACAAAGTGCCATTTACCACAAACAGAGGCAACGTATCTTGGGCACATTTCGGGGATGGGGATTCGAACTGACCCTTGTGAGACGGAGAAAGTGAGATTATGGCCAACCCCTGCCAACGTCGATGAATTACGTAGTTTTTTAGGGTTAGCCTTATACTATCGGCGATTCGTGAAAGGGTTCTCAGAGATCGCAGCGCTCTTGAATACTTTGTTACAGAAAGGCCAATCTTTAGAATGGACCGTCGAGTGTCGAAATTCCTTCGATCGGTTACGTGAATCCCTCTGTGCCGCTCCGGTGTTGGTTTTCTCCGACCTGTCCCCAATTGCCGGGGGGTTTATTCTAGACACGGACGCGGGCGACCAGGCGATTGGAGCTGTTTTGTCGCAGAAAGGGCAGGACGGAATAGAACGAGTGGTGTCGTACAGCAGTAGAAGTCTCAGTGCAAGAGAACGGCACTACTGCACAATCAGGAAGGAAACACTAGCCCTAGTATTCTATATAAAACAAAACCGACACTACCTATTAGGAAGTTTTTGGTACGAACAGATCATCAGTCACTTCGCTGGTTACAGAATTTAAGAGACCCTGAAGGACAGATCGCCAGATGGCAGGAACAACTTCAGGACTATGATTTTGAGTGCCGATACCGACCTGATGCACAGCATGCCAACGCGGACGCTCTCTCCAGACTTCCTACTCGTGCCCATGGAGACTGCTCGTCTTGTACTACACAACACGTAGCCCTAGTTAACCTACATAGTTCAGAGTACGGTCGTTGGCAGGAGGCACAGGTAGCAGACCCAGACGTATCAGCGATCTATAACAAACGACGATTGGGGAGCGACAAACCTACCGCGAAGGAAATGGAAGGAAAAAGTTAAGAAACTCGATGCTTATGGGCAATGTGAGACAAGCTCTTCATCGAGGAAGGCGTGTTAGTGTTTGATTTTGGCTCAAACTATGCCAGAAGAATCGTAGTTCCGTGATAATTAGTTTCCGAAGTGTTATCTGAACTGCATGAACAGCTGGGTCATGCTGGCATCAACAAACTTGAAGCGGCAGCAGGTCAACGGTTTTGATGGCCACATCAACGGAGAGACGTCACTAACTTTTGCCAGAAGTGTGAGGCATGCGCCATGTTCAAGAACCCGAACATCACCCGGAGAGCACCATTGCAGCCTATGAATGCAGGCTGCCCGAACGAGATAGTGGGAGTAGATCTTGTTGGTCCCCTACCAGAAACATCACGTGGACATCGGTACATCTTGGTTATGGTCGACTATTTCACTAAGTGGTGCGAAGCAGTTCCGATCGCACAAGCCGATACGGTCACCGTGACAACGGCGATGGTGAATCACTGGGTGTCACTGGGGAGCGCCGGGGCAGCTACACTCTGATAGGGGCTCATATTTCTAGAGTTTGTTGGTGCGAGAATTTTGTCGTGTGTTCGGTATAGACAAGACAGAAACGACGGCTTACCACCCGCAAGGCAAGGGACAAGTTGGGTGTACAAATCGGTCGCTGAAATCCCTACTGAAGACCTTTGTAGATGAAAATGTAAGTGAATGGGACGCTGTTACCAAAATGCTTGCTGGCATATCGGAGCACAGTGCACGCTTCTACTGGTCAAACACCATTTTTTATGTGGACTGAAAGAGAAGTCCGATTACCGTCTGATATTCTACTACCCAGTCCGCAACAGCCACATTCATCGATCACAGAGTATGTTAGAAAACTCCTTGATTCGCTTCATCAAACACATCAAGCGGCACGTGTTCATCTTGGGAACGTCCATCGACGACAGAAAGAATATAACAACAAGAAAGTTTTCGTCGCTGCTTTGAAGGTTGACGACCATGTTTACTTGCACCAGTTACCAACCGCAGGAATCCGGTTAAGCTACACCAAGAGTGGACAGGACCGTACCTAATACAGCGGGTGATTTGGGAGTTGACATGTGTTATCCAAGATCCCAACAACCCTGCCAGTCAACCCATGATAGTACATTTCAGTCGACTTAAGCCATTCCGGTGTAAAACTGACCAATCTGTCGGGGGGTCGAACGAAACGCCTGGGGAAGTTGAATTTGAACTGGAGGTGCTGACTCAAGGCGGCTATGATGTGACAATGAGGACGCTGACTGATTAGAAGGGGTGTGGTTTAGAGAACGATCGAAACTGTTTTGGCGCGCGTCCAAAGTTGAATCGTTGCATTAACGGTACTCTCTCCCGTTTGCCTTTTAGAGCGCCTCCCCTGCTCAACTACCGGAGGAGAACAAGAACACGACGACACTGGTTAATTGTAATTTCCTTTGTTCCAAGTTGTCTCATGTTGATTACCTTTTGTAGAGGCTGCGTGTCGTGTAATAGAACTTCGTTCTCAACCCTTGGAGGTCTTCCGTGCTCACATTTTACAGGTATACCTGCACTGTATTCAAGCAAAGATGACACCGTGTTTCATGATGACATAGCGAAAGCTTGTCAACTAACTTCGCAATATCCCATGTGCATACGACGGAGGCGCCGTTTGTTGTTGAAGATTCTCTCACTCAGCCCTCGCCTTTAGAGCATGTCGAAAGTACCACTGACAAAGTAGTGTAATTGCTTCTCGACTTGAACTCGAATTCTTCATTGGGTCTCGATGGCTTACATCCCTTGTTCCTCAAGGAGGTGGCGGAGTTCATTGCTGCACCTATTTGTCAAATATTTCGGAGCTCACTTGAAGCAGGTCGTCCCCAAACTAAATGGAAAGCAAATGTGAAACCGATGTACGAAGATGGGAATCGCCAAGATCCAGTGAGCTACAGTCCGATTTCCTGTCATTAATCCTCTGTAAACCATGGAAAGGATTTTGGAACAGACCTTATATCTTCACTTTGAGAAATTGGACGTCATTTCTCCTGCTTAGCACAGATTTCGGAGGGCACACTCTTGCCTTACCAATCTGCTTTTTGTCCGAGAAAAGTGGGCGAGGTCAGTGGATGCTGGTCGTCGCCTCCATGTAGTTTATTTGGATTTTAGCAACGCGTTTGTTAGGGTTCTGCATAAGCGACTCCTTAACAAACTTCGCCAGATTGGCATCGCTGATAATTTGCTCGCCTGGATCGTTGTTTTCCTAGGTGACCGTACTATGTGGGTGAAGATTAACGAAGTGGACCATGGTCCTGTTCTTATGACCAGTGGGGTTCCACAAGGCTGAGTTCTTCTTCCCGAACCATTCAAAATCTTTATCAACGACCTTCCGGAGGTGCTCCAAATCGACTGATCTATGCGGATAATCTTAAACTGTGGTCGGAAGTATCTAGGCTTGAAGCTACTAACTTGCAACTGACGTTTGCTTTGCTGCACGATTGGTCTGTCAAATGGCAATGCCTATCAATCGTGATAAGTGTTGTGTTCTCCCGATCGGTGATCAAGAACCTTTCGGTACCTACCACCTTGGTGGTTTTCTGCTGATGAATGTAGTTGGTGAGAAGCATTTGGGTGTACTAGTTTCTCCAGACCTAAGAACCACCCAGGACACGTTGCGGAAGGTAACATCTGCCAACCAGATGCTTTGTGCCATACGAAGGTCGTTCTACAAATTAACACCCCAGAACTCCAGGCTCCTCTTTTTCTCCCACGTTCTTCCAATACTGGAATAACGACTACCTGCCATACACTCACTCACGAAATTTGAATATGAGTTGATTGAGAAGGTTCAGGGGCGCAGATCCAAGTCTTTGTCTATGCTACGTGTGTTATCCCCTTCGTCTCCAATGTATGAACTTCGTTAATCTGGACTGCAGCCGTCGCCGTGGTGATCTGATTTATACTAGATTCATTTTAAGGGGCGATTTGGGGAAGGAGGTGCAGCAGTTCTCCCAGCTCAATACATTGTTTAACTAAAGGCCAAAACTTGAAACATTTTAAACCTCGGAGGAACCATTTCCGGTCCGATGTCGCGTTATCGACACTGGTTGTGAATGAGTAGAACAATGTCCCTGAATGTATGGTAAGTGTCCAGACAGAGGAATGTTTTAAAGTACGATTCGACAAGTACATGCTGAGCATGCCTGGATTCCTCTGTTTTTGTTGCAGCTGTAACGACCCCTCGAGGAAGACAGTTTAGAAACGACCTGTGCCATCCAGCCAATGAACGGAAGGTGATGGAGCTTACGCGGCTTTTCCATTCTGCACTCTACAGCTCTGTGAACACTACGAACACAGCATTCGTAACAGGAACATCTTGCCGCGCTTCGGCGCCACATTTCACTCTGGCATCAATGAACGTGCAAATCATCCTTGCATCATTCCTAGGCAATAAGTATGTACAATTTTTCGAGCCATGTATTTGTCCGATACTTATCTCTGTCGTCTAGTGTACATACGCTTTTAGTGTTTCTGTGGTTCTGTCAACAACTTTATCATGCCTGTACTTGCGTGTCCCGTTTCGGCGAGAGTATAGCTATATATTATTTATTATTTATGACTAACTGCAAGTGTACAGACCTTTCATGGTACTTGCAACGGCAACAGGCGAAAACTGTTCAGACGTTCATAGTTGAAACCGTACAAGTGGTACAAATGTAAAGGTAAATAAAGTTGATTGCCCTTAGACCGGGCACTTTTGTATGGGAATAACCCTTCTGCCATACATGACAGTAATTCATCAGCTGCAAACAGCTTAAGAATTACGTTCGATCTATGGAAAAACCTGGCGAAAGACAAGAGCAGCGATTTCGCATTACACTGGCTTAATGTGAGTATGACGTAAAGATCAACAGTGAGGACGCCAAGTGGTCTTTCGGCGCCCACTGTGTCTAAAAGCAGTGCTACTAAGAAACAATTGGTGCTCAGCATAAGTTTGCAGCAGACGCTCGCCGTTGTCAGTCCCTTCGGAGTTAAGCCCATACTTGCCACGCAGTTGAACTTCTGAAGAGCCTTCATATCCCCTTCAAGTACTATAATATCTGAACTAGTAGCACTGCGTATTAGGGCGTTCAGTTCGTGATAGCATGTCCTTGACAGCATTAGAACTGCGGTCGTTTGGAGCATAAGCGGAACTCACAAACAAACAGCGTTTGATGCTAATTTGTGAACCAACCTCAGCTGATGTCGTCAAACGGGTTTCACACAAACGGCTGTTCACCGGAATCCAATCAACCAAGGATGGCTCAGCCTTGGAGCTTAGAATGATACCTACACCAGCTTGACCCGTGAGTGCTGCATCGGCGTCTGCGGATGCATGTAACCAATAACGAGAGGATAAGTCGGATGCAGTTAATTCCATAATCCCGTTAGGGTCATTGATCCTAGTTTCGGACACACAATACATCGGACCGTAACCAGGTAGTCGATAACAACCGGCTTAGACCAACTGTTTCCTCAGCTTTTTCATGCGGCTTCTTCGATTTGCAAGCTCTCCAGCAGATCGTCTATTCCAGCCATGCCCAGCACCCGTCGTACGTTAACACACAACGGATAACGCTGAACAGACATGCGCAATACGTGTCCCAGCCACAGCAGTTAATGCAGTGAGACGTGATCCTCGAGCGAGTGGCTTCCTCGTCCCAAGACACGCTGTCTAACTTCCACATTGCTTACGTGGTGCCGTCGCCACACACCTGCAATGGACTGCAGACAGCGGTGCTCGAAGACGGATAGTTTTCGCAAGTCATCTTTACGATTGGGCCTGGTCTCGCATCACGAACTGTTTCACAGTAGACCCGCCCTTGGATGGAGTGACGAATATCGTGGCGACGCCATAAATGCCTCAGCTCAGATAAAGCGAAGCGTGCTCTTGAGATGTGCATCGAAATCTCGTCTCCAACAGCCCCGCCAATATTGATGTAACTCCTCAAGTAGGCAAAGCTCCTCCTCAACCTCCAGTGTCTCACCACTCAGTGTGAGTGCAAGCAAAAGCACCTGACAGTCTTGAAAGAGAGCCTTGCCTTTGGATGGCGAGAAGTACATTTCATACTTTGGTGCTTCAATCGCCTAGCGGTTTAGTGCAAGTTGGACGGCTTATGGATCGTCACCCAGCATGACAATATCATCAACATATTCCTAATCAACAACCCGTCTACCTGGGTGGAGCTCAACGCCAGCGTTCAGCGAATCCCTCAGGGCGTTCTTTAGGACATCCTCAATGGCAAAGTTGGATAGGAACGTAGGGATAAGGCATATCGTGTAGTAGGCCCATTTTTATTATATGTTGTAAGAGGAACTGCAAGCGGTACGCTTAAAGCGAACAATTTTCGATTTATTCATCATCAGGCTTGGTACAGAAATATACGTTGTGAAGAGGAGTTCATACGGGAAAACAGAGAGTAACTATTGATTGAACAAAAAATTTTAAATGCTTTAACGTAACGTGTCATGTGGTCAAGTGACTGAAGGCATGTGATGCCACTGAGTGAGGTCTGATTCATCTTTATCACGGGCTGGCCAGGGTAGTTGTAGTGCTTGTACATGTTGCTTCTGAATGCATAGATTTGGTTTTATCAACCTGATGCATACGGCTTCAGCGGTAGCGAGTAGCCGAGCCCCTGAACGATGGTGTAGCTGTGATGGAACTCGATAGAGGATCTCAAAAGATTTGCGCTTATCAATCAGATGATTGGTACAGATCGTATGGTTGGTTATTTCCATCGCGTGTTTTAACAAGGGACGTCCCAACGCCACATTCACAGTTGAGGAAGAAACTGATAACTGAATGCACTTCTTGGATGCGAACTTAAAGCGACGAGAAGACGGATCAATTCAGATAGGAGTATATAGAAAGCCGTATTGAACAGGCCAATGCACACACTTCCGAAGTTTTGTGCCAATAAGCCGAAAAAGAACACTGGTACATACGCTAGCCAATCGTGCACGGAAGATCTGTTGTGAGGACACAATTGAAGAAGAAATGAAGCGATTCAGGCAAACACTTTCGAAAAACGGTTATCCAGAACCATTCGTTGACGTTCATATAAAGTCTAGTAGCTCATGACAAACGGTTGAGAAGAAATAGCTATTTCGCCAAGTTTTCTTTAAAGGTGACATACACACGACGACTGATACAGACTTGCCGAAAGACCTTTAGTGCAGCACAACTAAGTGTCGTTTTTACAAGCAGTTCGCTCTTTGTTCCTAGGTTCAAAGACAAGATGCCTGATCAACGCCAATCAATGGTAGTCTACCGGTTCACCTGCTCCTGTGGGGCTAGGTACATTGGACGCACGACCGGGCACTTGGAAAAGCGAATCAAGGAACATTTACCAACATCGCTCACCACCCAACGGGACAAAACTAAGTTGAGTGAAATAACCAACCATCTGATGTGCACCAATCATCTGATTGATAAGCGCAAATGTTTTGAGATCCTCTATCGAGTTCCATCACAGCTACACCATCGTTCAGGGGCTCGGCTACTCGCTACCGCTGAAGCCGTATGCATCAGGTTGACAAAACCAAATCTATGCATTCAGAAGCAACCTGTACAAGCACTACAACTACCCTGGCCAGCCCGTGATAAAGATGAATCAGACCTCACTCAGTGGCATCACATGCCTTCAGTCACTTGACCACATGACACGTTACGTTAAAGCATTTAAAATTTTTTGTTCAATCAATAGTTACTCTCTGTTTTCCCGTATGAACTCCTCTTCAGAACGTATATTTCTGTACCAAGCCTGATGATGAATAAATCGAAAACAATTGTTCGCTTTAAGCGTACCGCTTGCAGTTCTTCTTACAATAGATAGGCCGTACTTGTCGAATTCCATTGGAGACCAAAAGGAAAGGCGAAAGCTTGCTATAAGCCTTAACTTTGCACGGGGTCAGACCATTGAGCGCGCGCAATATGGAGACGAACTTTTCGGGGACGCCACTTCTCATCAGGCAGTGCCACAGTACACTCCGATCGGCAAAATCAACTAATGCAGGGATATCCAGCAATCGTTGGCCTCCGATATACATAGCAGAGCTCAAGGATCTGGCGGATTGCGAAGATTTGATGGAAGCAGCCGCGACTAGGCCGAAACCCAGTCTGTGCTCGCTGCAGCGATTCGCGCGTTTGGGATAGCCTACGATGTATGATGAACACCTGCAGCTTGCAAACGACGGGGACTAAGCTTATGCCCATTTCGTTGGAGCGCAGACCCTCTTTAAAGATGGGACGACTATCGATTTATCCCAAGTTGATGGAACTTCCTCTTTCGACCAAACTTTCGAGAACAAAGCAGTGAGTTCTCTAACCAGCGATGTACCACCATCTTTAAATAGAGCTGGTGGAAGACCATCAGGGCTGGGGACTTCATGTAGCGGAGCTTCTGCTCTATTTCGTGCTTAGTGGGAGGAGCTCTGATGGTAGACCACTCGGCACAAGTGCGAGCACCAGAGGTAGCAGATGGAGTTGGGGGCCAACAAAACTGCGAGCCGAAATTATCGCTCTGTCGTTGAAGGTTGGTGATTAAGGTGCCATCCTCTTCGCATATTGTTTCACTTATACCAGAACGAACGCTTTCGGTGACTCCAATGGGAGGGGAAAGTTTTCTGGTATTACCAGAGAGACTAGCAAGCCGCATCTTCCTAGCACGTTCACACCACCAAGTTTCGCGGTCCATTTACAGACTCCTGCGTAACTCTCGACCCAGGCATTGGTACTTCACTGTGTCTGGAATCCGACGGAATCAAGCGGCGTTTGTCCTTTGTCGCCAAGAAAACGGCTAAACTCCAGTGCTTCGGTGGGTGACGGGCAACTCCAAAGTGTCAATACTGGCGGAAACTAAGGGCTCTTTGATCTGCGCTTACTGCTAATCGAGGTCACTCTCAATAGTTGAGCCCAGCAATGTTGACAGGGAGGTTTGGTACTCGGTTAAAATCGCAGGGTTTTGTAGATTTGCAACGTCCGGTCGGTAGTGAGCGCGCTTAGGGGGTCCTCCGAAACGCATGCAAATCTTAGCACCAACCCATGCGTGATCGGAGTCTAGGTAGACTGACCAGTACGATCGGCAGTCTGTTACGCTTCCGCGCCATCTGTAGCTGATTGTCATGTGGTCAAGCTGGGAGCACTTGTGTTTGTAGGGCAGGCTCCAGGTAGCAGTGTGTCTCATCGAGTGCGGAATACTAGTGCCCGAAAGAAACAAGCGATGATCGGAGCAAAGAACAAGCGGGCTGTCTCCATTGTCTGGTCGACTGCCACCGAGATCAAAACAAACTTCAAGGTGTTGCTCGCTTGGTGGAAGGCGACCCACCCGTGCATTGAAGTCTCCGGCAAGAATGACTCTCCGTCGTTTTGGAGAACACATAAGTTCTTATAGCTGCTGGTAAACGCTATCC